CATTAATAATTACACAAATGAACACATAATGACAATTGAAGAAACTAAAGGAAAAATACAATGTATGGGAGCGCAAAACAAAATAATTAGTAGCCTGGCGGGTCTAATCTCAACACAGCCTTGAAAGGATGCCTGGGTTGAGGTTTGAAAGACGGATAAGCGTTAACTAGAGAAGAGAGATAGGGGTTTAATAGTGCATGCAAAAGTCCTGTAGGAGCAAAGGGATGAAGGAAGGTTGGTTGGAGATATCGGGCTGATGCCAGGCTATGCAGTGTAGAGCCTTGTAGGCTGAAGGATTTTTTTTTTATTGTTTGTTTGTTTTTTGAGATGAAGTCTTGCTCAGTTGCCCAAGCTGGAGCATAGTAGCACAATCTCAGCTCACTGCAACCTCTGCTTCCTGGGTTCAAGAGATTCTCCTGCCTCAGCCTCCCAAGTAGCTGGGACTACAGGTGCACACCACTACACCCAGCTAATTTTTGTATTTTTAGTAGAGGGGGGTTTCACTATGTTGGCCAGGCTGGTCTCAATCTCCTGACCTCAAGTGATCCGCCCGCTGGGCCTCCCAGAGTGCTGGGATTACAGGTGTGAGCCACTGCGCCCGGCCGGCTCAAGGATTTTTTGGCTTTTATCTTTAGAGGAATTGGAAACCATTGAAGGGTTTTAAGCCAGCACACCATACAGTACAGATTGATGGTGTGGCCTCAAGCTAAAGCTCCTTGGAAGGGAGTTTGCAGTGTGGAGAACCATTCAGTGGATTTTAAAGATGTCAACATGAGAGATGATTGTAGCTTGGACTAAGGTGGTGAGAAATTGATGGATTGGAAAAGTATTGATGGAGTAGAACCCACAGGACTTGGTAACTCCAAGGTGGCTGTCACCCTTATGTAAGTGCTTCCATTTATCTAATTGCTCATGAGGTTTCTTGTAAGTGGTTGATTATTTATTATTTCATCCAGAATTTGTATAAAGAAAGATCAATACATTTGTTTCTTCAAGTTTGTTTAGTAAAGGATGAATATTCAAGGGTACTTTTAGTCTTTATGGGCCAAGGTAAAAAAAAATGATGGTCATCATGTGCATTTAAGCACTCAAACACTATTGGTACACGCAGCCAAAATGCAAAAGCAGGACATATGAATTACAAGTCTGTACCTCAGGGGCTGAATAGCAAATACTAATTCAGAAGAGGCCTTATGACCCAGGAAAACATACTTTAATTAATATCTGTATTGTTCTGTCAGGTAGGTTAACCCTCCGGATCACATCAGTATTTGGCAGTGTTGATCTTTATTGTTGGAATAGAAACTAGATTGTGTGTGTGTGTGTGTGTGTATACATGTATGTGTGAGCACGTGTGCATGTACACAATATCCTCATGTATACTTAATATATATGTTACCTACTAGATGTATTACATATGGATAATAATAAATAGAAAACATTAAGCTATTTATCAAAACCTCTCAAATGCCTGCTCTGCATGCTGTCAGACCACAGTGATTCTGGAGAGGAAGTGTGCTTTGAGATGAATGATGAGTTAATTAAAGGCAACTGGCAGGTGGCTTGTGAACTGGTGTTTGGTTCATTAAGTGTTCGGTATATTTTACTTTCTGTCCAAAGGGAACCCTTTGCTTGCTGGAAAGTAAAATAAAAGCAGCTCCTGGGTAAACTGTCAAAAGCTTGGATGAGTATGTCGGATTAGATTGTATCATTCAAAGTTGAACCATGATTGAAAGCTGTAGCTATAGCCTCTGTCCTTGGTGGTATAGCAGAGCTCTCCTGAACTTAATGTTGCTTCATTACCAGGCACTCCATCATACAGTGTTAAGGCACTGGATTGAAGTGAAACTTCGTGTAAGTGAGTTGGTCTCATACATTGGACAGTATAGCTTAATATAGTATTTAAATCCATTCCTTTCCCTTAGATGATTGGCATGTCTTACATACTAATGGGCATCTCCACATGAGCTTTAATTTCTGCTTTGTCCAAAGTACCCAGGCTTATTTTAATATTTGACTGTTAAAGATTGTCTTCAAACTCCTATAGGTTTCCTATATCATATATCAAAAAGATACTCATATCTGGCTGGGCGCAGTGGCTCACGCCTGTAATCCTGGCACTTTGGGAGGCCGAGGTGGGTGGATTGCCTGAGCTCAGGAGTTCGAGACCAGCCTGGGCAACACAGTGAGATCCTGTCTCTACTAAAAATACAAAAAATGAGCAGGGCGTGGTAGTGCTTGCCTATAGTCCCAGTTACTTAGGAAGCTGAGGCAGGAGAATCACTTGAAGCCGGGAAGCAGAGGTGGCAGTGAGCTGGGATCGTGCAGCTGCACTCCAGCCTGGATAACAGAGTGAGACTCTGCCTCAAGAAAAGAAAAGAAAAAAAAAACCTCATATCTTTCTTAGGATCTATATATTTTCTGGGTCCCTTTCTGGGCCCTAGATCCTCAGAGTGTGGTTCATACTTGAGAGCTTGTTAGAAATGCACAATCAGTCCCACTCAAGACTTTCCCAATCAGAATCTGCATCTTAGCAGGATCCATGGGTGATAGGATGCACCTTACAGATTGAGAAGCACTTTTATAGATAACATACTTGGTAAAAATCAATTGAGTCTCTAGAAGCAGTGTGGGATTACAGACTGAATGATCTGAATCTAACTCAGATGAATTAGGTTTAGTGATCAATTTCTGGAAATATGTCTGATAAGCCCTCTGTGAGTAACAAGTTACTTTATGCCCCGTTTTCCTCATCTAGATATGTGTGGGTCATCTTTATACCACGGGGGTATCGTGAGGATTAAATAAGCTAATGCCAGGATGGGCATTCACTGGACTTTTTGTGAAGATGGTGTGCCTTCTCTTCTTCCGGGGCTTACTGAGTGAGCTCTGTTACTCCCACTTGTCCCATATGCCTGTGGTTTTGTTTTTACCTCGTCTTGCTGTCTCCTCTTATTCTCATTCCCAAACTGTCTTTAGTTCATAATTAATTATGTATTAAATTGTATTTAAATAGCCTCCAGCATCCAAAGGAGTAAGAGTGTAGTTACTTACCCAAGAGTGTAGTTTGCATGTTAGAGTTAGTTCCATAGGGTAGGTAAGACAAAATAGTAAAAGCCTCTGGGGATTTCATAAGGCACTGAGCACACCAGCACAATTTTTGGTTCTTTTGTTTCAATTACACTACGTATTTGGAACACAATATAGCTTCAATCTTGCAGATTATATAAGCTCCAAAGTACTTCATGATTGTTTTATTATCACCACAGTGCACATGAATTTATATTCAGATGTACCCTATCCTATGAGAAAAATGCTATTTTTTTGGCAAATGATGTTCTAAAGAAAACAAATGAATGTTCACTGGAAATCAGTGAGCACCTGGAGCGTCAGTTAGGAGGTGGTTGTTAAAAATATTGGGCTTTGCCTGTGGCTGGTGCTATAAGCTATGCTATTAAATATTGCTGCTACCATATAGGAAATAAAGGCAAATACAAAGCATTACAAGGATTTAAAATACAAATTAGAGTGGCGCCTTTCCAATTTATATAGCATATTCTTTTTTTTTGAGACGAAATTTCGCCCTTGTTGCCCAGGCTAGAGTGAATGGCGCAATCTCAGCTCACTGCAACCTCTGCCTCCCAGGTTCAAGCAATTCTCCTGCCTCAGCCTCCTGAGTAGCTGGGATTACAGGCATGTGCCACCATGCCTGGCTAATTTTTATATTTTTAGTAGAGATGGGGTTTCTCCATGTTGGTTCAGGCTGGTCTCGAGCTCCCAATCTTAGGCGACCCTCCCGCCTTGGCCTCCCAAAGTGCTGGGATTACAGGTGTGAGCCACCGCGCCCAGCCATATAGCATATTCTTTAGGTTAGCTAAAAAAAAAAAAACCTTGCTGTCTGCTTTTGAGGCTTTATTCCCATCACCTATGCCCTGCCATACTACCTTGGTGAAGGGCTTCTAGAATATACTTGTGTATCCCTTTTCTGTCTAATTAGAAGAGTTGATGATTATATTGCTTTTTTACTACTCTGTTATGTTTTCTTTTGTTTCTTTGAGGTTGAGATGTCAAAACACGTAAATGGTCAGACTTTTTAGGCCCTTGCCACATAGAACCTGTATTTTCCATTTACTTACTGTGCATTTGGTGCCTTTGTATGCTAGTCATTATGTAAGGTGCTTTATCGGATTTACTTCATCATTTTAGAAATTCAGTACTTCGCCTCACATCCTATAACCTAGTACCTGGTGAGCTGGGATGGGAATCCAGATCTTGCTTGTTCTACAGTCCATGATTCCTGCAGCACTCGTGCTGCCTGTATTGAGTCCTCCTAATTTTCATCTTTCTCCATGTGCAGTTTCTTCAGTAACCTTGCTTAACTAATTGATTGGAAACCTGTTTTGGCTTTCAGAGGACTGAAATAAGAAATTGTCTCTCCACGCATTCTTAAGCAACCCAGGATCCTTTCAGATGTGCTCAAGCAACTAATGCGTGGTTGAACTAAGATGACTTTTGCCATCACTTTGAACTGAGAAAGTTCTGTTATTGACCTGTTTTCCGGTGTGAGTTTTGAAATGACACGTGTGCCTGCTATTAGAATCTGTTCCATTCTTGATGATACTTGGTGTCCTAGAAATATGTCAGACAATTTCTTGTTAATTTTGATGACTAAAATAGTGATAATAATATGAAAATCCTGTATTTTACTTTTATTTGTTCAGGTTGCCTCTGGGATCAGTCAGTACAATCAGAAAACTGCTGATTGCCTTGAGTGGCTGTAGCTCCCCTCTTCTCCCCCACCCAATTGCTTTTTTGCAAATAAAAAGTACATTAGGGACTGATTCTGTAGGGGTTTCTTTTGGTTGTTTTTTTGACAGTAGTTTTTACATTGCGCACAGATTTTTTAAATGCACTAAAATAATGTTCTTCAAGATCTAATTTGGACTGTGGAGTCATGTCAGGTCTCACTTATTTTTCCCTCTCTTTCTCCCCCTTTGCAGGATGATGAAGTGGTTCTGCAGTGCACCGCAACCATCCACAAAGAACAACAGAAACTATGCTTGGCAGCAGAAGGATTTGGCAACAGACTTTGTTTCTTGGAGTCCACTTCCAATTCCAAGGTGGGATGAAGTCTTTCAAGGCTATTCAAATATGCAAGTTTTACTAGTGGCATTGAAGTTATTTATGAGCTCTCTACTATTTTCTGTGGAACACATACTATATAAATGAAAGGGATATAAAAATGTTTTCAACTCCATTTTGCTGATTTTTAATTGAGTCTCTTCTGGGTACAAAGAACTAGGGATAAGATTGTTAGCAAGAACACGGAAAGTCCTTGCCCCATGATGTTTATATTCTAGTAGAAAAGCAAACAAGTAAATAAATGATGTAATTTGAAAACTGATAAGGGCTAGGAGGATTTAATGGATTATTAAGTTTGAACAGGAACCAATAGTCTTAGGCTCATTATATTTTTTATAAGATAGACTTTCAATTTTCTGTATTAACAAAAAATCAAAACTCTAGATCCCAGTTCATGTTTAAAATAGGTAAACCTGGGTATAGATATAGTTCACACAGATATATCTGGATTTGACTTTCATTGGTAAAAAATGGGATATGGCTTTTTTTCCTCAAAGTGGTATCTCTTGCATTGATCCTAAAGGGGAAAGGACAGAAAGATTGTCAGCAGTAAGTAGTCAGACACTGTAAATTATATATGTACTCTTGGAAATGAGCCCAGAAATATCTTAAGCTATGGAATTTTAAAATCAAAGGCGGAACTAACTTTTTGAGACAACCGCTCCTAGGATATTTATTTTTTTAGGCTGATCTTTGCCTAAAAGAGAATGGTTCATAATATCAGCATAGATTTTCTTGCAGAAATATAAACACTTAAATCTGTTGATATGTTTTGATTCATTATTCCTGATTCCTAACTGTGGATATTTACTGTACATTCTGTATATGAATGAATTTTCATCTGTGTCTCTATATTTCAGAAATTAGAAGTTAAGGTTTTACTTTTAGGAACTATTCACTTTGAGACAGACCCACCTTGTAATTATTAAAAATTCAGGGAGAAATGAGGAATTATCAAGAAGGCATAGTTTTTCATCTCTTTGAATCTCCACATAAAACCAGACAGATCTATGAAGAGGGCGAAACTCACACCCACAGACAACACAGTATCCAAGACAAACTAAGTGGCAAGTTATTCCTACATATGGTGTCAGTAAATGTACAGGAGGAAGTGCAAGAGAGGCGACATGATTTCTGTTGTCTCTGAAAGTCAGTGACAAATCCTTGCTGGAAACTGTGGTGGGTCAATGTGAAAACAGCAACCACTCCAGGCATGGTGGCTCACGCCTGTGGTCCCAGCACTTTGGGATCCAAGGCAGATGGATCACTTGAGGTCAGGAGTTCAAGACCAGTCTGGCCAACATAGCGAAACCCTGTCTCTATTAAAAATACAAAAATCAGCTGGGTGTGGTGATGCACACCTGTAATCCCAGCTACTTGGGAGACTGAGGCAGGAGAATCGCTTGAACCCAGGAAGCGAAGATTGCGGTGAGCCAAGATCGCACCACTGCACTCCAGCCTGGGTGATAGAGCAAGATTCTGTGGAAAAGAAAAGACAAAGAAAAAGAACTAAGAGGGAGCAAAGGAGCCATGGCATAGTGAGGTGAGATGTTTCTGGAGTAACCTTGGCCCTATGGACTTTTATAACTAACCATGTAAAGCTCTCTCACAGGTCAAAGCCCTCCTCTGAGGAAAAATTGCAGGGGTGATAGAGGCAAAGGATAGAGAAGGATCAAATGAAAAACAAACAAAAAAATAGAGGAGGGAAACAGAACCCATAGATTTCATAAGATGCCATGTTTCAGGTAGTGGGGAGAACCACAGAACAGGAAGTTCTAGAGCTGTCAAGCTAAAAAAAGCTACACTCTCCCTAAGAGGACAAGAAAAAGCATTTCAATTTTTATCTGGACATTTGATGTGCTTGTGTTGCCTGTAGACATTATAATTTTATAATATATATAATTATGTATAATTTATATGTATTAGTGGAGTAATCTAATTTATATAACTATAATTATACTTATATAATTTATATCGGTATATATTATATATAAAAAAGAGAATAAGAAGCAGAATAATATCTACAGGTAATAAAGGCCAACTAGTTAAATAAGCTTATAACTATTTAAAAATGGACTAAAAGAAATTAAAAAAAATAAGATACACTGTGAAGGAGCAACATACATGCTTAGCTCAGAAATAAGATGAGTAGAGAACAGAGATTTGGAAAAGGGAGCTGAATTACAGCCAGAATTCCAAATTAAAGAAAAACTAATTTTAGACCTGGAGACTGCATGAGAAGGGACAGCAGAGCACGTAAACCCACAGCTTAACATCTGCAGAGACGTAGAAGATGGAAAAGCGAAAACCTTCGAAAATCCAAAGGAAATGATTTTGTGGAAGACAATTTTCCCACGAACCGGGGCTGCAGGGTGTTTGGGGGATGATTCACGCAATTACATTTATTGTGCACTTTATTTCGATTATTATTACATTGTAATATATAATAAAATAATTCTACAACTCACCATAATGTACTATCAGTGGGAGCCCTGAGCTTGTTTTCCTGTAACTAGATGGCCGTATCTGGGAGTGATGGGAGACAGTGACAGGTCGTCAGGCATTAGATTCTCATAAGAGGGTGTGCAACCTGGATCCCTCGCATGAGCAGTTCACAGTACGGTTTGCACTCCTGTGAGATCAGCAGCAGCATTAGATTCAGAGCTCAGGTGGTAACGCCAGTGATGGGGAGTGGCTGTACATACAGATGAAGCTTGCCAACTGCTCACTTCTGGCTCTGTGGCCTGGTTCCTAAGGGGCCACTGGCACCGGTCCATAGCTAAGGGGTTGTGGACCCCTGACCAAAGAACACCAAATTTCAGTGGAGACTCTGGCACGAGGAATGGTGGTGAGCATTCAAGATGCACTTACCCAAGGAACTGAGATGGAACGATGGTTTTAGGGGAGAGAGTGTCTTGTGGAATGGCTCTGTCCTCTGACAAGGTTAAGTAAGTATGACTACCAAAAAATGGGAGACTGGGTACAGTTTATAAAAATTCAACTTTCTGATTGCTTTATAGGTGTAGTCTAAAAGTAAACAATATAACTTTCACTGGAGACAAATAATATATTAGCTATTTGCAATATTGCTCATAGAGAGAACTAAGAAATAGTAATCAAAAAGGTAAGGTCTTAAGGATATTATTTAAAAATATAAGTATTAGGGAGGCCCAAACTTCCTAAACAAAAGAGATATATAAAAATATATTTAAATATTATATATTTTATGAACATATTTATATTATAAATAATATAAACATAACAAATAAATATATAAGTATTATAAAATATATATTATATATTTCTGTTATATATAATGCCTATATTGAATACATTGATATTATAAGTTAATATAGATTCATGTTTATTAAGAAATACATATTTATTTTATATTGTATATATTTATAATATAAATATTTATATTATATATTAATGTAGATATATGATATGTAGATATTACATATAATTATATATTTCTATTTAAATATAAAAATACATACTTAATGTACATATTATATATGATATGTATATCCTATGTATATGTGTGTATGTACGTATCATGTATATATTTATATATAATACAGCTGTGTGCCACATACCACTTATATTACAGCGGTCCCATAAGATTATAATGGAGCTGAAAAATTCCTATTGCCTAGTGATGTCTTGATAATTTCAATCTTGCATAGGCCTACAATAATGTGAATTTGAGTCTTAGTTTTCAACAAAAAAGTTTAAAAAGTAAAAAAAAAAAAATTAGAAAGAGAGAAAAGAGGCTTCTAGAACAAAGATATGAAGAAAATATTTTCGTACAGCTGTGTTTGTATTTTAAGCTAAGTGTTATTACAAAAATCAAAAAGTTAACAAAAGTAAAGTTTGTAAAGTAAAAAGTTACGATAAGCTAAGGTTAATTTATCATTGAACAAAGAAAATTTTAAAAATAAGTTTAGTGCAGCCTAAGTGCACAGCGTTTATAAAGTTTGCAGTAGGGTGATGTCCTAGGCCTTCACATTTACCCAGCACTCACTCACTGACTAACCAGAGTAGCTTCCACTCCTGCAAGCTCCATTCATTGTTGGTGTCCTATGTAGGTGTACCGTTTATCTTTTATATCACATTTTTTACTGTACTTTTTCTATTTTGAGATACGTTTATATAAACAGATACCACTGTGTTACGGTTGCCTCCAGTATTCAGTATAGTCATGTGCTGTACAGGTGTGTAATGTAAGAGCAATAGGCTAGACCATATAGACCTAGATGTATAGGAGGCTGCACCATTTAGGTTTGTATTACATACACGCCATGATGTACACATAAAGATAAGATCACCTGATGACACATTTCTAGAATGTGTCCCCATCATTAAGTGATGCATGTCTGTATATATATATCATCCATGGGTGATACACACACAGACATACACATGCATGCACACACACACATACACACACCATACACATAAAATGTTTTAAATAAAAGGAAAAATCTCATTTTAAATAAAAATGAAATTATAAATTTGTAGTATTTTTAAATTAAAATATGCATTTTAGCAATCTAAGACAATTGAGGCCAAAGTATGTTGATTATATTAACAATTATAAGTGAGTTTGACTTACCTATTAAAATAAGAACTTAAAATTATAACCATGACTGCAAAGCTAAATCTAACAGTATGTGTATAAAAACAAAGGCATTCAGAAAGGGAAAAATTAAAGGATAGTTAAGGATATACCAAGAACTACAAATAAAAAGAAAACAGGTGCCTTTATCTCAGTATTTGACATGGCATAATTTAGACTAAAAAACTGTGAGACAAAGAAGGATTTTTTTAAATAATGCTAAAGGGTACATTTCTCAATGAAGACAAAGTAGTTTCATGACCCTAATAACAGATACAACTTTTACAAAGTAGAAACCTCAGAAGTTGCCAAGAGAAACATAGAAACATACCAGTAATAAGAGACGTAACACACTTC